GAGAAACATACATACCAAATTTCAAGTTTGTAGGCTGGAGATTTTGTGATAATGCGTGAGTGGTATTTCGCTTTTATATAGATAGATTCTGGCTTTATCAAGCCTATTGATTGGGCTCAATTGTGGTTGGAGGTTGAGGACTACTTGTATCCCCTCCCCACATGGCCACTGTCCATTATGAAGAAAATAAACCCAGAGATGGAGTGTTCTATTCTTCCAAGGCTGCTCTGTAAATGTGGATAGCTATACAAATTTGATCATATTTGGTTTGAGTGGTAGAAAATCTGTCACTTGTCACAGAAGCACAGGACCTGGCCAGTCCTATCTGGATTGCAATTCTAAGCTGGCTCATTCTTGGATAGAAAAATCGAGGTCTATCAGGACTAGGATAGTTCAGGAAAACTTGGAAAAAGCCAATGGCAAATGACTTCTAAATTGTTGCCAAGAAAACTGCATGCTCGTGTCCATGAAATCACCAGAAACTGAAGTTGATTTGAGGTGCCATTAACATCTTTAATGTTATTTCATTTGAAACTGGCAAAAAAATAACTTCCATCCCAATTATCTTCAGAAACAATTTCTACATGAATTATGCATGAGTAAGACGATACCAATTCTTCTAAAAAAAATTTTTTTTAATTTAATCATTTTCAAACTGGCAGATGAGCAAATACCCACCAGTATATTTGAGAAAGAAATTACATGTTGGGTAATTACTTAAATAATAATAATAAGCTCCTATGGAAATTCCAGGTCAACCATTTAAACCTGGGGTCAATTGCATCAGACAGCAGCTGAACTTTTAGAAGAAGGGTTTGTATGAGCCAATGCTTTATGTCTGCTTCTCACCTTCTTATCTCTTTTTCTGCTATTGGAACAGAAAATGGCTTCAGGCAGGGTTCCATTACTACAAAGGCAGTAGTAACAATTGGCATTTTTATATGCCAAGGCCTTTTAACAATAAAATTAGTTCTGTCATTTGAACAAAGAAATCATAGTTAATTATTTATATGAATTTTAATTGAATCAAATTTGTATGAACAAATCGTATTTGAATAAACATTCAGAAGAAAAGGCATTTTAGACGGTAGTCCTATATCTTGAAGCAAATTTCAGTGAATTCGGTGGGACAGTACTTCTGAGTAGGCAAGTATAGGACTGCACAAACATTAGATAATGCATGCATATTTCACAGAATTCTCAGAAGTTGCTTTTTCTGTGTGATAAAATAGGTCTTATCTAAGGACGTATGGATCTCCCGTGGACTGCTTATATAAAAACCCCAATATTTTAAAAGATGCAGCCCAACAAAATATTCAGTTTTTAATAGATCAAAAATTATTCAAAGTTTTGATGAATATCTTCCCTCCTGATTTTCTCCAGATGTATTGGACCACAACTACCATCATGGCTTGTTGTCTGGTATGACAGATGTTGTTGCCAGATACATCTCTAAGGTGCTAAGCTGATCAACACTATCATGATTATTTCTGAACTGCCGATTGGGAAACAGCAATCTTGAATAATTTCCCATACCCAAAATATGGTCACAACATTGGAAACACTGAAACGTATAAACATGCAGTTTTACTATCATTATCAGTGACAAACAGGCTCAGGATAGGACTCTTCAGCATGAAGATCTCAATAATGAAAGAATGAACTTGTTCTTCAATGTATATTTAAAAAAAACATTTATAGTGTAGTTCTTGCAAATTTTATGTGTGCATTTCCTTTGTTATACTTTTCCCAAGGAACAAACACCAAAATGAGCAGATAATAGCCAGGTGGGGAAAGGCACATATGCATACCATTCACAACTCACTCTCACACACATGCTCCTTTGCTCATATAGAAAGCCTCTCCTTGAGTAGGAATTAGATTCTGCCACCCCACTGCCACCATTCCCTGGAGGAAACCGGAAACTTTATGTAGACTCCAGTACAAGATTCTGGCAGGTCACAGAAGGCAGGAAAGGCATGGTTTACCCTTCCTAACTAATTCCCCCATTTCAATCCTGCCATAATCAGGCTTGGGGAAAAGTACACTAAATATTTTAGTTGGTTTAGCAGCTGTTCCTTTTCCATAGGGAGTGCTGACTGCATTTGGATCACTAACACAGAATCCTGAGGATTTGTTCGATGCTAACCATCCATCTTTGGAACAGATTCCTGCTTCCCTTTGATGCCTTCTGCATGTTTGTCAAATAAGGGCTGCATGGAGAAAAAGAGCCTGTCCAGAGGGATTTTTTTTTTAAAAAAAAAAATTCAACATATTAATGACACAACCACCTGCATATAATCCTCTAGCAATGGTCCAGCTAAGTCCAGCTCTAGCCTTTCCTTTTTTGAGAACTAGGATCTGCTTTACATTTCTAGTATTAATTCTGACAACATTGAAACCAATCACTTAACTTGAAAGCTTAGATTAGGAAAAAGAAGCTGAATAGTAAAGACTACCCATGTTTTCCCAAAAATAAGACTGGGTCTTATTTTCTTTTGGGCCCTAAAATAAGCACTAGGACTTATTTGGGGGGTGTCTTATTTTTTTTTTCATGTACAGGAGGCCCACTTCTGCTTTTTGCTTGTGGCAGCCACCGTGAGGCATGTGAGGTGGAGCTGTTCCATATGCCCCGCACTGGCTTACCTTAGGGTCCCTGCAACCAGGCCACTCACACCCCACCTGCCTCACCCACAGTCATGGCACCATCACAATGCTCAGCCTCTTGCTCTGTTGCGGCCACAAGCAAGCAGAAGAAGTAGTCCGGCAGCCATGTGGGCTCCTGCTGCACATGGCTGCTGATGCAAGGCAGGTGTTGAAGCATGGATAGTCTGGCTGCGGGGGCCCTGAGGTAAGTCAGTGAATGGCAGCTCCACCACCACCCGCCTGGCCTTGTGATCATGGCACCACGAACAACCAGACAGAATAGGCAACCAGCTGGCTGTGCAGGCTCTTAAGTAAGGCTTATTTTGGGGGGGGTAGGACTTATATTAGGTGTACATGTGGAAAATACACGAGGGCTTCTTTTTGGGATAGGTCTTGTTTTTGGGGAAACACATCAAGAATGGTTTAAACAATAAGGTGCTGAAAATTAGGGAAGGGGCCTACTGCTAACTCCAATAGTTCTTTTTGATTTGGGGTTGCAGTCTTGGCCATTTCCATCTCCTTTAACTTTGCCATTTGAATCAGGAGTTCCAATGTCCCATTAAGCTACCTTCCATGAACATATGGTGATTCTAGCAGGCAGACAGGCAAGGTTTCTTTAGGTTGAAACTCCTGAGTTCTATTTTTGTTACACTGAATTAACCAGTCATAGGCATCTAGTACAAGCTAAGATGGTATCACATGTGTCATGACATTGTCTTACAAAATGCAAAGTATGTAATTGGCATCAAATAGGTGCCCCCTCCCTTCTACCTATGATTTCTCGGGCAACCTGCTGCAATTGACTACAAATGAAAAGAGCAAGTGTTTAAAAGCTATACAGATCATAGGATTGCCATCACTTCTGCACTCTCGTCACTTAAAACAGATTGTCAACTTGTTTTATTATCATTCTTCTCACTGCCCAACCTTGACTCTAAAAATGACTCCTTCTTCTTCTCCCTCACCATAACATTAAATAGTATCCACAGCTGTCCTGAACAGAGTTCAACAGTCTCAAGATTCACTGAGCCTGGCTTGGTGAATTTCACCCCCCCAGGAACAATTGGTTTTATTGAATTCTTTATTTCAAGAAAACACAAAGATAAAGCATGTTGTCCCCGTTTAGCAAATCTCAATTTTTCTTTCTTTCTTTCTTTCTTTCTTTCTTTCTTTCTTTCT